ATCTGTGCAGAATCGCCATGTTCCTTGTTTTTTCTTTACCAACAAGACGGGCGAAGAAAAGGGGTCGGTGCTAGTCTTGATTATTCCCATGTTGATTCTGTCTTGTACTTGTTTCTCTATCTCGACCTTTTGAAAATGAACATACCGATAGGGCCGTACATTAACCGGTTCGGTCCCTTCCTTGAGGTTGATTTTGTGGTCAATTTCTCATGAAGGAGGTAGCTGCTTTGGTTCCTGGCACAAATCCTCAAATTCTTGCATTAGTGGTCGCATCTCTATAGGAATTCCCTCATTTGTAGTCATCTGTAAACAAACAACAAATAAAGAATTCCCTTGGTTCACTTCTTTTGATATGGTTTTTAGTTTGACAAGTTGGATCGGCTTATGATCAATTCCTTTTAGGTGATGGTGACGTCTTTCCCACATGAAATCCATTATCAATCTTTTCCAGTCACACATAACCGTGCCTAATTGTTTGAGCCAATGGACCCCTAGCACCCTATCCAATCCGATTAGCGGTAAAGAATAAAGAGTTAGGGTGAATGGGATACCTTGTAGCCACAATCTAACATTCTCGAACCTCCCCTGACATTTGAGGGGTGCACCATTGGCCACCTTCACATTAAAAGGTTCGGTTGGGATTGCTGGAAGTTGCAATAGCTCCACAACTCTGTCGTTAATAAAATTGTGTGTCGACCCACTATCAATGAGTATAACTATCTCGTGGGAGCCGACTCTAGCCATAATTCTCATGGTGCGAGCAGTGGGTCATCCCGTGAGAGCATGAAGCGAAATTTCAAGGCCTTCTTGTACCTCCTCATCCTCCTCCAGGTTTCCTTCTTACAGCAACACCTGCGGACCTTTACACTTGTGTCCAAGAATGAATTTCTCATCACAGTTGAAGCAGAGTCCTTGTGCACGTCATCTTTGCATCTCTTCCCATGATATCCGTTTCATTGATGAGGTTGGCTTAGGGTTGGTCGAAGTTGAACTCTCAACAGCGGCAGCAGGAAGCCTAGTCACCTTCTTTTGCCGGCTTAATTGATCATCCTTCATCCTGGCTAGGCTAATGGCTTCTTTAAGGGTCTTTGGCTTAAACATTCTAATTTCATCAGCAATTTCCGTTTTGAGGCCGCCCATAAACGTACCTACAAGTGCCTTTTGAGTCCAACCACGAACCCTGTTTCCCAATCTTTCAAATTATCATTGGTAATCCCACAAAGAACCTGCCTGTCGAATCTTGGATAAAGATTCATCGAAATCTTTGCAGCTGTTGGTCCAAATCGCGACCACAACTCCTCTACAAAGACGTCCCACGTAACTTTTTTTCCTTCCTCTTGGTAAGCTCAATACAACCACTGCCACCATTGATCTGCTTCCATTTCAAGATGGAAGGAGGCCAAGGGCACTTTCTGTAGCTCTGTAGTGCCTTGAAACCTGAAAAATTGCTCCACCTTATTGAGCCATTCAGTGGGATCTTCTCCTGCAAACTTGGGAAATTCCAGCCTTGCGAGTTTTGAAGAAAACATGGAGCGGTCTCCTGCTGTGTTCTCACGACCTTGATCACTTGATGAATATCCACTTTGCTCAGAAACTTGATTGGACTTGGGTTCCGGTTGTATCACGACAGTTTTAGTGAGATTGCTAATCACCGCCTCCAGTCACTGCAACTTCTCTCCAAATCCCAGGTCCGAACGGGTTAAACTTTCCTGCAAACTTCCAACACTTGACTCCAGAGTCTCTATTCGCTCTTTATGGGTTTCCATCGTAGACTTGGCTCTGATACCAAGATGATAGATCTTCTTTTTAAGGCAAGAAATTAACCTGTAACTTTATTTGATTTCAATTCATACCTGGTTCTGTACAACCCCTGGTTTAAATACAAAAGCCATTCAACAATTTTTCCTAAACTCAAGGCCTCAACGTCTAGTGCTTCCTTAAGTTTAGCAACTCCCTATGCTATACTTTAGCAACACTCCTAGCCTATTCAACAGCAACTAACACAACTATTCTGAGATATTTCCTCACTTATTTGACTACTTATGCACCAACAACTAACAAATATGCATATGCCACACGTCCCGTTAACAAATTTGCATATGCCACACGTCCTGCAAGTCATGCAATGTCCTGCTAACAATAGCTAACAGCTAACAAATATGCATATGCCACACGTCCTGCTAACAAATTTGCATATGCCACACGTCCTGCAAGTCATGCAACGTAATCTCAATATTGTGGGTTCTTGACATGGGTCCTTGCTAACCTTCTCAACGTACGATGTGATTGACAGGGAAGGGTGTGGATTTAACCACATTGGTGATAACTTGTTGGAAGGAAAGATGGGCGAGATGAGTTCCGTGAGAGTAAGTGAGGCCACCGTTTTTGGGTTTCATAGAGTGTCTCGATAACTCTAGGGCTTGCCATCTCGTATCCACTCGGGCATATGCAATACTTGCTCTTCCTCACCATGTTGTAGTAAGACACACCTTTTGGGAGAGCAGAGACATCAGGTATTATGGAAGCTAGCAATATATTTAGCTATTAAGAGAAGAGACCCAGGCTGGATTTATCAATGCTTGGTTCATTGGTTATGTACGTTGATGAAGGGATAAAAAAGAGAAAATTAATATGAAAAAGAAAAGAAAAAAAAGAAAAGGGAAGCTTGAATTTGAGTCAACCATGATCAGATGAGCAGTGAAACGACCGGACCCTCGACACCCTTTTTTCTTCTGCCATGTAATAGCTAAATCAATCAGCAAGCTAGCCCATTCAGATGACCCATAAATTAAATGATTGTCCTATTTTAGCATTAAGTTGGAGGGAGGGCTAGAAGAGAATGACCCACTTCCAACCACGAATTGTAGTAGTTGTGGAGCAAAGCGACTGAAACTAGAGCTGTCACACATATACAAAGGCATGGTGGTTGTATTTGTATATATGTAATTAGAAGATGTCAAAGACCAAAATCCTTGGTGAAGGACGGATCAAACAATGGGAAAGGAAGACGGAAGGGAAGAGGGGAGGGTAAATTTTTATCAATTGGGTTTTATTTTAAAAATTTGAGGAATAATCGAGGATAAATTTAACATTTCATTTCTTTTCATTAGCACTTGGGGATGATGTCAATTATAAGAAATAGTAAGGGTACTTTAAGATAATATGTAAACAGTAAGGGTAGAGTTTGGAATTGGTGTAAAATGTCATCGACATAAAAGCGTGATGTGATCGATGTAAAGTATTTACATCAATAATCGATGTAAAACTTTATGTTTGATGAGGTTTTACACCGATTCACGACGTAAATCTCCACTCCATTCAAACACATAGAAAACTGAACCGAAGTGGAGTTTTACATCGATCATGATTACATATTCCCCCTAAACGCGGACAAAAGCGAACTAGCATAAATTTTTATATCGTTCTTGATTTACACTGATTCCAAGCGCAGCCTAAGGGTAGTTTAACAAATTTGCCCTTTTAATTTATATTTATGGGGAGATATTCCAAGTGCACAGCTGTGCAAGTGGCTATAGTACGGTGTAAGGACCGTTTTGCGAGGACTGAGGCCCTGTTTGAGAACACTTAAAAGAAAGAAGTAATTCTTTTAAGACATGGAACCACACATTAAGTGGTTTATAAGTACTTACGGGTGTTTGGTAAAAAAGTGGAGAAGAAGTAATTTTTTTTAAAGAAGTACTTTGAAAAAGTGATTTCAAGTTGGCTTTTTTTAAGTACTTCTCCAAAAAAATAGGATGAACTAGTCCCTGATATTTTTTATAATGCCTAAAATACCTCATGCCTAAAATACCCCATGCCCAAAAGGCATTGTTCATCATCTTCATCTCTGACTTGTCCCCACTCCCCAATCTGACACTTCACGGCTTCAGCTTCGTCATCTTCCTTCAACCTCTCCCTTCCTTGCTCTGTCCCTTCATCTACCTCACCTCCCTACCGACCAACTCTGCCATTGGAAACCTTTCGTCTTTGTTTTTTTCTAGTTGCCAAATCTTGGCCCCTCTTCGTAAGTTCCTCTCCCGATCTCTCCTTGCTACTGCAATTCTTAGTTAAAACTTTTTTTCTATGTAGAATAGGTCCAGCAGTGTCGGAATCTTCATCGCATTGTCAGTTTCAATCAGGATTCTAGCAAACTATAATTGCTCCCAACGGTGGTTCCTATCATCAAAACTTTTGAATTTGCATATTGCATTTCTTGTAGCTTTGAACGTCTCTATACTCCATGTGTGCAACGGCACTCCGTAAAAGAGAATGTGGTGAGCGTGAGGTGGGTTCCATCTCTTTACTCCATGCATCGAGAAGAGAACAACTCCCTTCTTTTCTTATTTGGTGACTGAAAAAATTGTTCAATTGGAATACTATTCTATTGTTGAAAGCATATGAAAAAAAGGGGATGAAATACTGGTACCTAGAAAGAGAAACTGGAATTGAAGCTCGGAAAACTTTAATTGGAATCGAGAAATAGGGAAAGAAGATACGCCAGGAAAATTCAAAAATGTGGGTAAATTAGTAACAAATGCGAGTTGTTTCTGATGAAGAAATGTACCATTCTTCTTTTTTTTTTTTTTAACTTGAAACTCCTCTGCTTTTTCTTCATTCTTGTATATTTTTTGACATTGTTTGAATTATTTTTTGTGCAAATAATGATGTTGAAAATGAGTGAAGTGAAGGCTAAAATTGTTATTTGTGTCAATATAAGCACTTATGGGGAAAGTAGCTTACCAAACATTCTCACCCCAATAAATGGTTAAAAACATAATAAATGATTTAAAAAGTGGGTTACCAAACAGAATTAAGTGATTGTTAAAATAAGTACTTCTAAAAAATATTTATTATAAAACGAGTACTTTTTTTAAGAAGTACTTAATCATCAAACAAGGCATAAATCCGATCTATTGGGAAGATTTAATGAATCAACCCAGTGGGCGGACCAGTGATTCGCGATCCAACTGTTTGCTTTCATGGATTGATGAACCGCGAACGGGCCCGGTCAAGTCATGGTCTTATACTCTCGTAGCGAAACCCTAATAAGGGGTGGGAGAAGACTCTTTCGAGAGAGGCGCCGCGCTGAAGCTATCCCCTCTCAGGTTACAGTAAGTTCTTTCTCATCACTCTCTTCTGATTCACAGATTTAAACTAATTTTCATCTCCATTTGTTCAAATTACTCCTTATGTTCGTCATTTCCCAGATGCATTTTCCATGGATGATGATGTATTAGTTATCATTTCGATTTGATTCTGCAATATCTCTTTCGTTTTTTATTTAGTTTCATTCGGAGACATTGAAAAATATCGTAATGGGTTTTAACTTTTAAGATCATTTCACGAAGCCTTCTCTTTAGTTAGAGAAATGAGTAGCATATGTGGTATGGTCTGACGTGAAATTCGTTTGTTATTCAAAGAAGGGAAAGCCATGGCGGTACCGTTGTTGTCGAAGAAAATCGTGAAGAAACGTGTTAAGAAGTTCAAGAGGCCGCAGAGCGACCGCAAGATCGCTGTCAAGGTACTGAGCTTCTTCCTATTCTTTCGCTTTTCTATTTACTCAGATTTTTTGTTTGTTGCAATAAATAACTTTAGATTTGGAGTTGTGGGAAATGTTTATTTGTAAATGATGCCTTTGGTTTGTTAAGATTGATTTGTTTTTGGGTTGCATTGGATAGATAAGTTACATACTTATTATAACGGCTACTGTTCATTGATGAGAGCAGCTCTTGTTTGTGCCTCTTGAAATTGTTTGAATGAAATTATTCAAGGTTTAGTCAATTCATTATTTTTTAGTTACTGTTCCGTTCAAATTAAAATGTTATTTTTTTAATACGCCTAGTATTATGAATCCATTCCGGATCCAGTCAGTTTGGAATTGAAGGGATTTTGCTTTGGTTCCACTCTGCTTGCATCAGTAGAACCTTTAACAGTCAAGACCTCACCATTGTTTTTTTTTTTTATTTTTTAATTATTTTTTTCCGGCTAGAAAACTAAAATCAAAAGAAGCAGAGTTGTGTGAGAATTGAGAAACCCTACTTTTGTTTCATCTTCCACTTCCGAAAACCCTCCACACTCCATCATCCAATAGCAAGCGGTATCTGGTATTACAAATATGTGATCCTCATTTGTGTCTTGTGGTCCTTCAATATTTGTTTCTTTAGTTGCTTCATCACTAATCCTGGTTTGCTTGAGTTGGGTCGGGTGTTTCAACTGTTGAACTAGTTCATGACATCTCTGTTTAGATATCTTTCAAATTATGATATTACATTCTTGTTTATACAACTTTCATCAGTGGTTCTGGTATTCTGAATTCACTGTTTCTGGTCTAAACTTAAAAGGGTTTATGGTCCAAGATATCCTGTTGCACTGCGTATTGACTTATGATTCAATGTTGGTTCGATTGTGTATCTGTGGTAGCCAAATTGGCGTAGGCCGAAGGGTATTGATTCTCGTGTCAGAAGAAAGTTTAAGGGATGCACCTTGATGCCCAATATTGGTTATGGGTCAGACAAGAAGACTCGCCATTATCTTCCAAATGGGTTCAAGAAATTTGTGGTGCACAATGTGAAGGAGCTTGAACTTTTAATGATGCACAATAGGTAAACTAAACTAATAAGCTGAATTTCCTCATCTACTTTTCGCTATTTTGTTTATACTATGAGACTCTTAAATTTTCAATCATTTTAATGTGTTGTGATGTTTTATAGGACTTACTGTGCGGAGATTGCACATGATGTGTCGACAAAGAAAAGAAAGGAGATTGTTGAGCGAGCTGCTCAGCTTGATGTTGTTGTTACAAACAAGCTTGCCAGGTTGCGCAGCCAGGAGGACGAGTGAGGATGATCATGTTTTTCGTTTTACGGATTTTAGTTTTAACTTTTTTTCTTTTTGCTTCCAAGTTTTAATTACCTGCAAGGACTAAGGAGTAGCTGCCCCTGTTACTAGAGTTTGCACCAAGTTGAAGCACAATTTGTTATTTCAGTCTTTGATCAAGTAGATTGAGAAATCAAACACAATGGTTTATCCTCAACAACTGAATTACTTCTGACTGGTTAGATGCTTCCATTACTGTAGTTGTATTGGTGTTTAATTCTATACTACAGACGCATGAGAAAAAAAAAGAAATATATTAAATTCTTAGGACAGGGTTTGATCTTCAATGGTTCTGTAGTTCATGGTTACTGCATTCATCCGGGTTATCAATTCATGGGTTTGGGTGAGATGGTTTAAGTCATTTGCAAATCAGTTGAGCTATTCATGAATTTGGGTCAGTTGTGCATACCAGATATTTAAGTCATTTGCCAAGTTAAGCACCCTGCCTTTGCCCAAAATAAACAGTGGTTAATGCATTCCTGGTTGATCAAATGAAATGAATTTGTGTGGTTCTTAACTTATTAGAGTATGTCCGCTGGCTAAATATGTGAATTGTCTTGCACCAAGTATTAAAATTAGATTATTTCGGGTTTTCCTTAAGATAATCTCATTTACATGAATTCGGATTTCGTCCTCTAACTTTTTATTTATGGGGAGATCCGCAGATATTCACTGTGAAGAAGGGTTTTGTAATGACTTCATTTGCATTGTTCTATGCACATCTAAAATTAAGGGCGTCAATGGGCCGGTTTTGGACTGGACCCCAAAATCAATATGGACGGATTGGATGGATCAAAAAGACAGTGAATTGGACCAATACTGGTCTGTCTGTAATAAATTTGTATTGGATTTGGTTAGATTAAACTAATATTTGCTCCATTGATATAAGATAAGAATACAGTGGACACCCGATTTGTGTTGAAATCAATCTAAATTAAAATAAATTTGAACAAATTGGATGATCTGAACATTGAATTGGATCAATTTAAAATGGTCTAAATTATTTATTGGATTGGATTGGACTTGGTTCATTTGTAATGGACTCAATTGGACTGGATTGGATTGGACCAAATCTAGTACAACCGAAACCCCATCTAAAATAATCCTGATTTTTTGACCAATATAACAACCATTTTATTAATATCAATTTAAAGTACAAGTTTACGTACACCCATTAGAGAGATGAAAAAGCTTCTCTCGCCATTCAATCTTCCCTTGCATGAAATAATCTTGATTAGGTAAGCATAGGCCTCGAAAAAATAATCAGTGTGTGTTCAAATCTAAATTTACAAGTTTAATATATATTGCAGTATAACTTAGGGTCTGATTGGTTTGTAGTTGAAATTGGAATTGGAATTGAAATCGGAATGGTCTATTCACATAGTCTGTTTGGTTCAGATATGAATGAGAATAAAAATTGGAATAAGCAGGAATGAGATTTCATTCCCAAGGTACGGGGTAGGCAATGGCCATTCAGCCCATTCCCTCAAATGGGGGAATGTCATTCTAGTAGAAGTGGAAAGGGATTTCAATTCCACCCAACCAAACAGTTGGTATTGGAATAGCCCATTCTGATTCCGATTCTAGACCCTTATTCCAGCGAACCAAACGGGGCCTTAGTTTTTTTGTATCCAATTCCTATGTTTCCTTTTTTATTACATAATACATATATATTGTTTTTACTATGTATCTTATATTTTATTTTCTATCTCTACTAACAAATCTTATTTTTTTTCTTTGTATTTTCTTTCACATTTATAACCTTTTAAATGGCCAAACCTCGTATATATTATCATTCGGTTCGACTATGATATAGAAAAAATATGATATCTGAAAATTTTCTGACCAATCAATTGAAATCATAAACATGATAGCCAATCAGACATTATTTATCAAAATTCATGGATGAGTTTTGATTGGTCAAAACTCTTTCCATACCATCTTTTTCACATCATAGATTTTCCCTTATCATTTTACTTAAACTTGTGATCTTAAAATGAAGTTAGCTTCCGTTTTTTTTTTTTTTTTTGTAAGGTGACATTCGAATAGGCCATCTAGATATTTACATGATTTTTGTGTTTTTAATATTTTTTAATTTATAAAATTAAATTGAAGAGTTCGGGCCTAGTCCTAACATAGGGTCTCTATTCATGGTCCCAGCAGCCATTACAGCTGTACATTGGGAGCATGTCCCCATACGAAGGACAAGGGGGATTTTCTTGATGTACAGCTTCAATGTCTCTTGTGACCAGGTCCTAACTCTGAAAGTGAGGTCAGGTCTGTTGTTCTCTCTCTAAGACAGGCCACTATACCTTAATAATTATGGTGTGGCTCATGGTTCTAACTTCTAAATACCTATAGGGGAAAATATAGTGGATCGGTCTGTATTTTTGAGTGCTTTTGTTTTTTCAAACCTCTTCAGAGGCTTCTATCCCTCAAAACAGGTTAACCCCTAAATTTGAACCAACAGTGTTATATCAGTGGGTCACTAATATGATACAAGTTGATACGTTATGAAATTTTGATCCCTGATATGGTTAAATTCTAACTTTTCAAAAGTCCTATTTTCTTTTTTAGGGAAGAGGGGTATGATATGGTTTTCATGGGGTGGGGACAAAGCAGAATGAACATGAAGTCCACTGGTCACTGGGCAGGTAAGCCTGCATTTTTGCAAGTTTGATACCGTGCCTCCTAGCTTAGGGACGCTAAGTCCCCAACTGACCATCTCAACTACTGAATCATTGGCAGTGCAACGTCCTATTCATATATCTCTCTTGGGCTTCGGATTCAGACAACCACCCATGATTTTTAAAACCGGATTAGACGGTCGGACCGGAAAACCGGGAATCGGTCAGGTGATCGGTTCCATTTTTCCTTAAAATCGGGTTTTCTCTAAAAATTGTTGATTTTGGTCAATAAACCGCTGACCCGAATGGTTAATTGTTCGAACCGTTCGAGCGATTTTGACCATTTTTTATTTTTTAAATTTTTTGTTAGAACAAACCGATCGTTTGGTTTGAACGGTCAAACTGTTCGATCCAATAACCAGACCCTCCAACTGGTTCGGCATCTGGGTCGGTTTTAAAAACCATGCAACCACCCTTACTTGTACTCAACCGTAGATTCCAATTTATTATGATTTTCTTTTCTTTAACTTGTTATAGGTTTGCTGACCTCTTTTTGAAAGAAATAAAATGGGGAAAAAGAATGGAATCCTTCCTTTCAAAGGGGGGTGGGGGGTATATATCAGACCATCAGGGGCTCAAGGCCACAAGATTCCTATGTACTGGGCAGGGACCTCATACCTTACTTGTTCATGTTGTGTACTCAAAACGAGGAACCACTATTGAACGAGATGACCTAACAAAATTCAATTCAATTTAAATCCAACTTAACATTTCTTCTGATAATATATGTACCAAAGCAAAATCCCTAGATAAGAGAGATTCTCCTTAAAAATGTGGTTAACCTTCCACTTTGGCTCAAATCTATCTCCAACTTAGAAATTCAGTTCATGCTCTTTAATAATAAATCAAATCTAATTTTAGCTTCCTAATAACTCAAAGAAATATAACCCATCTGAAGACTTTGATATTAATATTTTGTTCTCAGTCCAAATTCTTCTAGATAAAGTGGGTTATTTAATTATAAAACAAACCTAATTTTAAAAAAGGGTCATTTATTAAAACACCCCTATAGTTTCACAAATTGCAATCAATTGATTTAATCGCCCTTCCATTAAATGAAAGTGGAAACTGACACTTTTAACCTTAACATCCATTCAAATATACTTAATGAAAAGAAACTAAAAACAAAAATATCATTTTTTCCTCTAGTAAAACATGGACAGCACTCTATTATTCTTGATTTGGTCGATTTTATTTTCTATACAAAAAGTGTTAGGGGTATTTTTGGAAGAAACAACCATGAATCCATACCCTTGAACATTTTCCACTCAGTTTAGGGATACTTTTGGAATAAACAACCATGGGTCCATGCCCTTCAACAATTTCCACTTAGTTTAGGTTATCAAATAACCGTTTAAGTAAATCTATGAAACTATAGGGGTGGTCTAATAAATGATCCTTAAAAAAATTCAGTCTAAATGCTTCAAAACTTATTAATTGAATAGTGGGTCTTACACAAAATACATTCATGTTAGACTTTCTTCCATTGGGTATAGGTAACCAATCAAATATATGAGACGGAGGGGAGGGGATTAGGTTCACAAGGGTGTATTTGGCTGTATGAGATACACTTTGTGTTGCTGCGAATGCACCATAGATTTTGCCTAATGTAACTCTGCATCTCTTAATAACAAATATCTACTTTAGTTTTCTAGCTCAAATAGAAAAACCAGCACACAGGCTTTTAATACATACTAGTGGAGGTCCCTTTCTTTCAGATAAAGTAGATTATCAATTACAAATCATAACTAATTTAGTCTTAATCAAATAAAAAACTCAACCTGATATCCAAACGAATTTTGCCACAAGTGGTTACTAGTTTATTTGAGTTTAAAGCTTTCAAAGTGGCCTAATGCTTGAAAATTTATGTGATTAACTTCCTAAGCTATTTGTGGTTTAAATGGCTGAAATGAATTGGTAGCTGACCTCAAATTATTGGGATTGAGGTTGGGTTGAGTAAAAGGAAAATTTCTTTGAACAACATTAGATGGGGAAAAGTGCTTCATGCACACCTCCCAGTCGTCATGGATAGAACCTGCCATTTGGGAAGTCTGTGATCATCTCAAATGAATAAGCTATTATCCTATTTGCAGGCCTTCCTTTCCATACTAAGTATTGCAATTTGAGCTGGGTTTAACCCAAACATTGCCTGAAAGAATCAGATTGGGTCGGGTCTAATTGAAGGTCTGAGTTGAATGAACCTAAAAGAGTAAAGGAAAAAGAAATGGGGCTTAACAACTCAAGGGCCATTTGAAAGGGTTAAGCTGAAGATTCAATTTAGTTGGTTCAATGTCTATTTGGGAGGGCTTTCATGTAGGAGCTTATAACATTAAATGAGCTGAGAAACCCGGAATTAGACTCGTAAAATTAACTTTCTGGTGAAGCCGAAGCCGTTCAGTCAATGCAGGTCAATCAATGCAGAAGCCCTCCCAAATGGGCTCTCAACTGCTTTGAAGTGTTGTGGACAAGCTTTTTGCAGAGGCTGAAGTGGTCTTCAAATGACTTGTA